GAATCCATTTGATTATGTCCTTGAATCTATCATTTCTTGATCTAACCTTTAAAAATAAATTGTTGACATAATTAATGATTAAATGGGACTTCACAAAGATATTTAAAACATTGATTTAGGATAGGTAAAAAACAAATGAGAAATAAATTGTGGTAAAAGGAAACAATAGAATAGGCAAATTGTGGAATATGGAGTAAGTGGGAAAATGTAATTAATGAAAATACTATAATGATTGTAGTAAATAATATATAATAATAAAGTTCTTTTCCTTAAATACATTATAAAGAAAGCAAGTGTATAGAAAAAGGCTTAGTATGTCTAAACTATTGGTATTGTCAAAACTTTTGTTCACAATATTTTCTTTGTTTCTATAGGTTGAATAATTTCCATATTGTCAAATATCACTGTGTGAACATCATTTTATTTAATTGTCTTAATTGGCCATTTTTTCACATTACTGTACTTACAAGGTGCTCGACATCACTACTAGTCGGGGAAACACAAATCAAAACCAAGAGATATCATCTCACACCTTTAGAACAGCTATCATCAAAAAGACAAAAGATAACAAGTGTTTGAAAGGATGTAGAGAAAAAAGAATCCTTGCACACTATTAGTGGAATGCAAACTGGTACAGCCACTATGGAAAACAGTGTGGAGGTTCCTCAAAAACTTAAAACTACAGCTGTCATATGATCCAGCAGCCCCACTTCCGGGTATATATTCAAAGAAAATGGAATCATTATCTTTATTTGAACCTCCATGTTCATTGCAGCAATTTTGCCAAAAGCCAAGAATGGAAACCATCTAATTGTCCATCTATAGATGAATGGATAAAGAAGGTATTATATATATATGTATATATATATATATATATGGTAGAATATCATTCAGCCATGAGAAGGAAAGATGTCTAGCCATTTGTAACAACACAGATGGACCTTGAGGGTATTGTGCTTGGTGAAATAAGTCAGAGAAAGACAAATACTACATTATATCACTTCTATGTAAAATCTTAAAAAGTTGAACTCAGGAATCTAGTGTACATCATAGTGATTATTGTCAACAATTCTGCATTATATACTTAAATTTGCTAACAGAGAAGATCGTCAATATTCTGGCCACCAAAGAGAAACAGTAATTATGTGAGTGGATGGAGGTGTTAGCTAATGTTATGGAGGTAATCATTTTGCAATATATGTGTATCAAATTAATACATTGTACACCTTAAACTTATACATTGTTATATGTCAATTATATCTCAATAAAGCTGAAAAAAAATTTTAAAGAGTACGTGCATGCTAAATTGCCTTGGTAGTGTCCAACTCTTTGCAACCCTATGGACTGTAGCCTGCCAGGCTCCTCTATCAGTGGGATTCTCTAGACAAGAATACAGGAATAGGTTGCCATGCCCTCCTCCAGGGGGGTCTTCCCTAGAAGGTACACATGTTCGTGGGATCGAACCCACGTCTCTTATGTCTCCTTCATTGGCAGGTGGGTTGTTTACCACTACCACCACCTGGGAAGCCCTTAAAGAGTACAGTGAAGTACAGAAGCTACATAAAGATGAAATAGAGAAGATAGAACGGGTGCTGGAAAGTGGTCATCTCTCCAGTTTATGCTACTCCAACACACTGCCCTCCTCTGACACGCTAAATGTACTCCTACTCTTCCTGGCATTAGCTGTTTCTCCTGTCTGAAAACTCTCTCAATCTCCTCTTGGTTTTTTCCCACATTTCTGAAGCTTCTGCTCAAATGTTAAATTCTCTGATAGGCTTTCCTTTAAACCCTATTTAAAATTACAAGTCCTACCCCGCAGGGGTTAATAGTCAGCCGCCTGTTGCTTTGGCTAAGCCATGAGAAAGTCACCATGGGAAAAGAATAAAAGCAGAATATAGCAATACAGCATAACCCAAATAAAAGTACATTGGGCTGATTAGTTGGAGTTGTCATACCCCGATAAGCTAAGGAAAAACATAGTGTGGAACTTGGAACGCTGGGTCAGCGCAAGTTAAAACACTGCTTGTGTACACACTAAGATGTTTTCCTAAGGCATATGCGGGTCTATGACCGCCAGCTAGGTGATAGCCCTTGTACAAGAAAATAATAAAGATAATTTAAAGTAATCAATAAAATGGGAGACATGACTGGGGACATAGGAGGCTGACTTTATCATAAAACAACAATTCTGCTTGCCAAGATACTAAATAAAAGTGAGGTGGCTCCAAGGAACAGGGCTCTTGACCCAAGAGACCTTGAGTCCCCCAGTCCCATCTTTAAAACTTTAATTCTGTCTCTAGTTTCTTTTTCCCAAACTGTGCATCTACCACTTTCAATCCCTACCTTCTGTGCTGGCCACAGCACTTCTCCACTTACAGTCCATCCTCCTTCCATATTTCATTTTTCTCAAATGAAAAGAAAAATTATTTCAGTTATTCACTTACTGTTTTTTTTTTTAATTTTCTGTTGCTCCCAACCTCAATTAAATTGTTCTAGGTAGGCAGGAATTTTTTTTTCTGTTTTTAAAAACAATCAGTATGCACTTAATAAACAATTACTTATTTGAATAACCCTATACCAGTCTTCGATGGACATGTGTTTGGGTAGATTGGGAGTTGGTGATGGACAGGGAGGCCTGGCGTGCTGCGATTCGTGGGGTCGCAAAGAGTCGGACATGACTGAGCAACTGAACTGAACTGAACTGACTGATACCAGTCTTCGGAGAAGGCAATGGCAACCCACCCCAGTACTCTTGCCTGGAAAATCCTATGGATGCAGGAGGCTGGTAGGCTGCAGTCCATGGGGTCGCTAGGAGTCAGACACAACTGAGCGACTTCACTTTCACTTTTCTCTTTCATGCATTGGAGAAGGAAATGGCAACCCACTCCGGTGTTCTTGCGTGCAGAATCCCAGGGATGGTGGAGCCTGGTGGGCTGCTTTCTATGGGGTTGCACAGAGTTGGACACGACTGAAGTGATTTAGCATAGCGTTTAGCATACCAGTCTTAGCACTGAAAACACACAACTTTCCAATGACTATCATAAAATAACAGCTGAACTGTCTCTAAACAAAAAATTTGAGAATATTAGTGGGGAAAATTTGTTTTTCTCTTTCTTCAAGATAGAAAGAGAGTCAAATGGTACATCTTTGTATTCTAACTATTACAACAAATGCTGCTGCTGCTGCTAAGTCATTTCAGTCGTGTCCGACTCTGTGCGACCCCACAGGCAGCACGCTACTATTATTTAATTATTCCCAAGGAAACTTTTGCAAAATCTGGTTAGTGGGAGCTCAAGAGAAAATAAGAACTTACTCTGCAAGTGCACTATTCCTCAAGGAATAGCAGGGCTTGGGATTTCTTTGTAAACAAAGACAATTCAAAACCCATCTCATCTGTTGAACAAATACTTTCAAAATATCAGGGCAAGGCTCCTAAATCTCAAAAGGCCATCATTCAAGGAAATGAATATAGACAGCACCTTCATCTGGGCTTTCATCTTGACCATAAATATGACCCTTGAAGTTAGGGAGAAAAAACTCTTTTAAAATTCACTCTTTGCAACTCATGGCCCATTACAAACTGGAGCAACCATCTCTTCAAAAGTCCCTCATATGCTATGGGAATATTTTATTTCCCCTCTCTGACTTTTCTTCTTGGCACACATCCAAGGAGTGAGTTAAATTTTTGCATGCCCTATTTCAAATGCTGAGATTTTTGCATACATGGATTTGCTGACAAGTGTTTTCTTCTTGTTCTAATATTGTAAATATCTGATTACAATAAAATTCAGACAGAACATTTAAAAATATTAATTTTCTCTTATTTTCCTGAACTTTGAGAAAAACACCTAATTTTCTGACTCCTTTAAAATATAATGGGTATTACTTACAATGAGACCTGGGGATTTTATTTTAAAAATGTATAATAGCAAATTACTGGAAGTGGATTTATTTTCAATATTATAATGAATTTTGTTATTTGTTCAGTAGAAATAATATGACAAATCTCTGATTCCACTCTGATATCACAGCTCTCCATCCCACATATTGCTCTCAGGCTCACTAATTTCGTGTGTCTTCCGTAAGTGATTAAACACCATTCAGCATCTGTATGTTTCCTGTTTCTTGCATTTGTAGGATATTCTTTGGATTGTGACTTTATACAGTTAGTATTCTCAAGAAGATCTGTAATAGGAGACCCAAACAGGGTGAGTATTGACATTGATTTGACTTGCCACTGTTAGGGTGCCATTGTCAATTGCATTGCCTGCTCAGTCACTCCGTCATCTCTGAGTCTTTGCAATACGATAGACTGTAGCCCGCCAGGCTCCTCTGTCCATGGGATTTTCCAAGCAAGAATACTGGAGAGGGTTGCCATTTCTTCCTGCTAGAGATCTTCTCAACCCAGAGATTGAACACACATCTCCTGTGTCTCCTGCATTGCAGGCAGATTCCTTACTGCTGAGCCATCGGGGAAGTCCTTGTCAGTAAAAATGAGCAATTTCAATATCATCGAACAGGATATCACTGTATCAGGACACATACTGCAATATGAAAGACAAAAATTAAATGAGTTTTAAAAATTCAGTCAAATGAGTTATGAAGCTACCACTAAGATATGTGTGTTAGCTGAGCTTTTTCTTCAATAAAAGCAGCAGAATAATTTGTGGATATCTAAGTGTAATTTTTCAGAGAAGGCAGTGGCACCCCACTCCAGTACTCTTGCCTGGAAAATCCCATGGACAGAGGAGCCTGGTAGGCTGCAGTCCATGGGGTCGCAAAAGAGTCAGACACAACTACGTCACTAAACAATATCATCAAAATGAAATCATACTCTTGGGCAATAGGTTATGATGATCACAGTTTGGGTGCTTTAAAACAAAACTCATTGTTTATTACTTAATCTCCCCAAAATGATAATGAAATTAGGGTTTTTCAGGAAGAATCTGTATACTCTGTTAAAGATCAGTAACTTCTCTCATCCCATGTCTTCCAGACTAATGAATGTGTCCAGCAGAGAAACCACCCACTCTGTTACCCACTTTATCCTCCTGGGCTTTCCCTCAAGCCCAGAAATGCAGCTCCTCTACTTCAGGCTCTTCTCAGCAGCCTATATCCTCACCCTGACGGGGAACACGGCCATTGTCTGTACTGTGCGGCGGGATCAGCGCCTTCACACCCCCATGTACATCTTCTTGGGGAATTTCTCTTTCCTGGAAATATGTTATGTCACCACAACCGTCCCTAATATGTTAGCCAACTTCCTGTCCTCAAGCAAGTCCATCTCCTTTGTGAGTTGTTTTGCACAGTTCTACTTCTTCTTCTCTCTCGGGTGTGACGAGGGCTTCTACCTTTGCGTCATGGCCTTTGACAGGTATCTTGCCATCTGCCGTCCTCTGCGTTACTCACGCATCATGACTAAAGAGCTCTACACTGGCCTCGTCATCTTTGGGTGGTCCGGTGGGTTCATTCTCTTCCTAACCCCAGTTGTTCTCATTTCACGGTTGCCCTTTTGCAACCCAAATATCATCGACCATTTTATATGTGATCCTGTCCCTTTGATGATGCTGTCCTGTTCTGAAGACACCACCACACAACTCATTTACTCTACTTTCAATGCTATTTTCATGACCGGCACCTTCCTCTTCATCCTCTGCACCTATGCACTGGTGATTCTGGCTGTGGTAAGGATGCCCTCAGCAGCCAGCAAACGCAAGGCTTTCTCTACTTGTGCTTCTCATCTGGCTGTAGTAATTCTGTTTTTTGGCTCTGTTATGGTAATGTATGTTAGTCCTGGATCAGGACACCCAGTGAAAGAGCAAAAAATTGTTACCTTATTTTATGCTGTAATAACACCCCTTTGCAATCCTATAATTTACAGCCTCAGGAACAATGAGATGAAGGCTGCTCTAAGGAAAGTCTTTTGGGCTGAAATATCTGTTCTTAAAGCATAAATCAGAAGTCATAGTGAACTAAGTTGCAACACAAGCTGTCTGAATAAGACACGAACAGGATGGTTTTCTAAAAAATTTAAAAATAATTTTGGTTAAGGAACTATTACAATAAAGCCTCCTATTATAAAAGTCGCCCACTACATGATGGATTAGTCTTTTTTAAGAAACAAAATTGTCTTAAGAAAATTGAACTTTTCATTATAACCAAGCTTCTAAAAGGAAGTATAAATCTGCTTTGTATTTCAGAATTGAAACAACATATAAGGATTCAACAGGATTCATAAACTTGTTTTGGTATTTACACTGCAAAATATTCTCCACTGGTAGTGACTGATTATAAGGAAGGATTGCCATATGGAATAAGTATAGCCTTACAGGTGTGATCTTTTTACTCTCTCCCAAAAATAATTCATGTTTTTACTCTAAGGATCATAAAGAAACAAATAGCCTTAGATGGATATTAAGTAGTAAGTCAGAAAGTACTCAAAATAAGAATTAGGAATTTAGTGGCTAGTGTTTATACAAATAGTGTTAAGATATATGCTAAATGTAAAGGGCATTAGTCAGGACTTCTCTCTTTGCAAATCCAGTGTCAATTGACAGGTTGTAGGAGCATATTTTATTTCAGTTTTTTTGCCATTTGACATATTAAGTATTATCTAAAATGTGTCTAAAGATCTTCTCTTTAAAATATATAATTACAAATGTTGGTTTGATTATGCATTTTATTTTCACTACTAGTACATATTTTTTAAAGATGATTCTAAGAATAACAGAGAAATAAAGTGTAATTTAAGGGAGCCACATTTATAGCCTTCAGAAAATCATCTATTCCACAAACTGAAGTACAACTGTAATTGGACTTCCTTTAAGAAAGAACCAAGAATTTGAGGTTGTCTGACAAGGAGGGACAGAACTTCTGGGGGTTCAGTAACAAGTTTTCTCTGTCCTATTTCACAAAGTGGACTGAATGGGTGAACAATTGCCTGGACAAATTATCTACCAAAGTAAAAATGCTTAATTAAGACCATCATCCAAAATATCTTTAACATAAGATGCTGTTTCCCTGATTATTTTAACTATTATTTAGTTCTGGGTGCTTATGTTTTGCTCATTCTACAGTCATCCAGCTTTCTTAGAGCAGATAGGGAAAAGAGATGAAAATTTATAGTGAATAAAATGTATTGTTGTTTCTAAAGGTGTGTGGTTTCTGCATTTGTAACCGATTTTGAGATAATTAACTAGGCTTTTTGCATCTCACACTTTACATATCAGAAACACCTCGTAATTCAGGCTGCTGACACTTAAAATGGAATGAAATTAATTAATTAATTAAAATGAAATGAAATTCAAGTTTTTTTAGTAACTTCTGCTTAATTCAGAGCTTTATAAATTAAGGATATAGTGAAATATAAACTTCAAATTTGTCTAACTTATTTTAGGAGATTATTTACAAGGATATAAGCAAAGTCTAACTACTCAATAAATAATTTCTTGTTTTGCCACTTCCCTCAGATACTTCCCTCAATCTCACCATTTGCACATTCTTTCCAAACCATAAAATAAATTCTTATCTCCTCTCATACAGAGGTCAGCCTTGCAGCCTGCTTCCTTTATTTCAATTGCATGTACTACAATTTCTAAGAATTTATCAGTTGCTAATCTGGAGCTAAATCACTTATATAAACTATCTCCATCCAAATTTCCAAACATGCTTTTCTAGGAATAATCTATGTGAAGTTAATAGGAAAGTAAGAAAGTTCTTTTAAGTGCCATATTTAAATAAAGCAGTAAAGAGTTACACCAAATTAAGCAAATTCATGAAGTCTTCAAAACAGTATAAGTATTATAAATCTCCAAGAAACATGTACTGAATGGGATTTTATCCAATTTTGACAGGAAAACTTTATTTTCTCCCAAATCACCTGATGGAACTGTCATCACACTGAATATTTTGAGAACAGTCACCTCTTTTATTATATACATATAATTTACATTTATTTTATACATATAACAACCTTCTGGAGCAAGTTATTATCAACACTGTGTTAAAAAATTAGAAAAGCAACACTTTTAGTGAGATTCAGAAATTTTCCCAATATCCCACTAGTAAACAGTAGTGGAGGAGCCAGATGTTTATTGTAGCAGATGCTTTTGGTGAGCTGCTTTTTCAGCTGCAGTTGTACTGAATAGTTCTACGTGAATTTTAACTCATAGTAACAGTGTCCCACTTGAAAACCACCACATATCTTTCAAATTTCTGCCTCGGAGTTTCTCAAAAGTCACTAGAGTCAGCCATTTGGTGACAAGTTGATTACACTAACCCCTTCCTTTATAAAGAAGGGGTTTATCCTTCTGAAATTTATCCTTTCTGAAATTGCCACAAGTTCTGGAGACTGGTTGTGTTTCCCTTTTGATAATTGCACACATTTTCTGTTCACAAAAACAGACATCTTTCAATTCTACATCATATATGTTATCAATATGTAACCTCAAGGTGTGAATATATTCCTAAGCATAAAACCAAAGTATAAACCATTAAGAGGAAGAGTGTATATGTGACTACATAAAAAATAGCTTTGGTTCAAAAAATTACTATGAACATGTATTGAATATGCAAATGTCAAAAATGGCAAAGATAAATATTTATGTTATAAGAAATTATTTTAATCAAGAAAAACGGACACATGATTAGAAAAATGTTATATATATAAATGAAAAGAAAAGGAAAAAAAGGCAAAGTGACCAAAAAATACTTTTTAGACTCAACGTAATTACTAATTAAACAAATACATATTAAAATAATGACACATTACTTTAAAATACTCATAATGGTAATTTTTAGACAGAATTGTAATAAGCTGTATGTGTGTGTGTGTTTCAAATGTGAGGAAAATGAGCATTCTCACTGTCTGCTGGTTAGACTGAAAGTTAGGACAACACTTTTAGAAAACAATCTAGCACTTTTAGAAAAATCTAGCAATATGGCAAATAAAAGCCTTAAAATTATACATACATTTTGATCAGCTAATCCACTTATACCAATTCACTGTAAGAGAACATCATCACAGAACAGTTTGTAACAGAAAAAAATTGCACAGCAATCTACATGTCCAACAGGAGAGAACTGCTTATATTACGCTGTAACCATAAAATGATTATGCTCCTAGTAGTGATTAAATCAATCAGCATTTGTGGAGAAACCAAGAGGAGAAAAAAAAAACCCACAAAACAGTACTCTACAGACAATGTGAATGTGGGTGGAACAGTGGAGGGAGTGAGGAAAGTTGTGGGTGTAACAGGCATTTTTTACGTAGTCGGGGTCTCTCTGAGCCAGTGCCAGGTTCCTGCTTCCAAGCCTATTAAAATTCTATTTCTGCCCAACTTCTTCTGAGTCATGGATTCCACCTCTTGCCTGAGGTTAACAGTCATATCAAAGTTGCATGTGAGATTCTCAAAAAACCAGAACATTCTCAGAATTAAATTAGTTAAATTCGCTTTCATTTGAAAATTCATTATTTCATGTACAGGACATGTTTGGTGAGAACAAAAGAAGCAGAATGGTGAAATTAAGCACTACCTATATCATCTCCAACAGTTTGGATATTATCAATCTAAAGTCAAGTATTAAGTGACAAGTATATGTATGTGGCCACTTCTCCTCTCTGCCCAAATTCACAAGGAACACAGCAACACTGAGTCTTTATGCATGGCCTGGGGGAGGCTGTGCAAAGAGAGGCATCTGGTATCCTGGGCCATATGGCCCAAAGCTGAACCTGGTTCAACACAGCCCTTGGGGCTTAGCTGCCATACCTTCTACAGTATCCTGCCTGGAACAAAAAGAGTGCCTGGGAAGGTCCAATTTGCCCACTTCCTGCCAATGACTTTCAAGTCCAGTGCTGATTTCTTCCCAGAGTTTGAATCCAGAAACTTAATCAGCACCTCATTTTCCTTGGGTATTCCTATCTTGATCAATGATTTTCAGGCTCAAAGGACAATTTATCTTCAGCAGTAAAATGTCCTGTTTGACTAAAGTTTAGAATGTACTGGATTATCCAAAGTGGACACGGTTCGCATACCCCTAGAGCTTTACCGTATAAGCTCCATTACCCATGGACAGATCAAGAGGAACAAGGGCGGCAGTGAACTCACTGTCAACATCGCAGAGCCTCGGTTGCCATGGCACCAATTCTAGGAAGAAAACACAGAGAAAGCAAATCATAGAATGAACAAAAAAAAACAGAGAAAATGTAATAATCATGAAGAGTGACAGAAAAATATAAGGTCAAACTTACATTTGAGAGATCTATCTGAAACTGAAACATTTAGAAAAATTCAGTTGTTTTCAGGATGGCTTTCTTTCTTGGGGCAATTGACATATCCAAGAGGACTGGTTTCTGAGGTATTTCTGAAGTTAAAAGGGAAAAGAACTGATTTGGAAGGTTACATGCTAATGAAATCCTAACAATAAACATTATCAATAACAAAATGTTTTAAAAGGTTAGACAGTCATCATCAAAGCAACAAAGAATGAAAAGAAGTTTTTATAAGCAAGTCATTGAGGGAGGAGATTAAAGATGAGTTTCCAAACACAATATTAAAATATCAGTGGGTCTATGACTTGCAGATACATCACTGGTGCTTCCAAAATGAAAACTTAGAGTAACCTTAAGTTATTACTAGAAGAAGCAACAGGAAGCAAGGCTACAGTAAAAGGACCTGATTACTATTAACTCAGAATTTTTTTTCCCCCAGGTTGCTTTCTGCTGGAACTAGTGAACGTCGAACAGAGTGAGTGGGCTACTTCCAATATGGCTGCCTTTGTCAGCTTGGATTAGAGACTTTCTGGCTGGTTTTGGACACCTTGTATCTCTGTGCTAAAAGAACTAAAGCTTGGAGAAGAAAGACGGAGTCTAGCACAAGGAATAGAGAGTCTAACAGAAGTAACATCTGAATCTGGTCTGACTCCTACCTTGCTATGCGGCATTGCAAGGTCATACTGAGTTGTGTTCAACTCTTTGCAACCCTTTGGATTATAGCCTGCTAGGCTCCTCTGTCCATGGGAGTTTTCAGGCAGGAATAGTATTATCAAGAGTTCAAATGCACTTCATTGTCAAGACTACTGTGTGTCTACTTACACAGCAAATAATGAAAAAGAATTAAAGTTCTGCCCTTGAATGGGATTTTTGCTGGAATTTTTGCCAAAGTAGCTCATTACCTTGAAAGCTATTTATGGGCAATAACTGTTTTAAACAAATCTTTGTTCACAATAGCAATCATTTTTCAGAGAAATTTGTTGTATCAAGATAAAATAAGATGTTAAGCCATAAACCAAATTATGAACAACCTTCTCAAATACAGTGTTTGAAGTAAAACTATTTAAAGAAGACAAGAAGCCAAAATAACAAAATTAATAGAATTTTCCCAGAAGGATAGAAAGGCATAACAATGACCAGGAAAGAATAACAGGTAGAAGCCATGAGCAGATTAGATATAATTTTTCACTCCAGGCACCCTATTTGTAGAAAAAGATAAACCAAGTTGAGTTAGAGCCAAATATAAACTCTTACCCTCTGTGGGCTTCTGTTCAATCATTTTAAAAGGATGAGACAGTATTCAAGAGTTTAATGAGCATTGCAAGTATTAGATAGGTCTTCCCAGGTGGCTCAGTGGTAAAGAATCCGCCTGCAATGCAGGAGACCCAGGTTCAATTCCTCCATTGGGAAGATACCCCAGAGGAGGAAATGACAATCCACTCCAGTATCTTGCCTGGGAAATTCCAGGGATAGAGGAACCCTGCCAGGTACAATCCATGGGGTCACAAAGAGTCGGGCATGACTTATTGACTGAGCATGCATGCATATATATTAGATACCACATATGAAATCTGCTGGCATAGTAATCAGCAGGTACTAAACACTATCACCTAAACATAATAAAAAACCAGGTAGAGAGTTTATATCCATTGAGACAGGAGAAGATAATTTGAAAACCTCAGAAGACATAAAATCCTCTTGGTTGAGGGTATGATAGGAGGCTCTGAATGTTAAGTGAGACCCTAGGTTTTCTTATACTCATGAGGATTGAAAGCCACTGGACAGTTCCAGTGGGAATCAGTCCCTGCCACCAAGAGTCTACTCAGGGAATGCAGACCAATTTTTAACACTGCTGTACAGACTGATAAAGATAGGCAGGGAGGTTATTTTAGTGGGTCATAGGGAAGATACTTGGGCTTCCTCAGTGGCTCAGTGGTAAAGAACCTGCCTGCCAATGCAGTAGATGCAAGACACAGGTTCGATCCCTGGGTAAGAAAGATCCCCTGGAGGAGGACATAGCAACCCACTCCAGTATTCTTGCCAGGAAAATCCCATGGACTGGCGGGCTATAGTGCACAAGGTCACAAAGAGTCAGACACAACTGAGCGACTGAGCACGCTCCCACAGGAAGATACTCAGGATTTGGCAATTTGTTAAAGTGAACTTTCAATGTCATTTGAAGAAAGACACATGCTAACAGGAGAGCTCTAGGAGCCTTAAAGCAAATGGTGATATCCAGTATAGAGATGGTTTTAAATCCAGAGCCTGCCTGTGGATGTCAGGTGAGCAGCCAACTAGAGGGGCCATTACTTGGTGACAGTCTCACCGATGGATTCAGGAAGGCCTTTTCAGCTTTGAGATCAACACTGAAAGTAAAACACACTTGGGGGTTGAATGATGCACTCTGTCCCTGCTGCTCATGAGGGATGGCCTCTAGGGACAGTATGTGGCCAGAAAGATACGCATATTAAAACGGAGAGTTTCTTGGCATTTTATTCTTTTTGTGCAGCTAAAGAGAATCCTTTGTGAGGCTCAAAGTGTGGCAGAGTGTCACCAGGAACCCCAAATTCTTCATCTAAGATCTTTAAGAGGACACAAGCAGTAGCCCCTCAACTGCCTGCTGCAATGTCCACTGTGTGTATTATTGCTACAGAAGGAGGTCTGTGAACGTTCCTTTGGATTTTTATTTATAAATATATTTCATATTATAAACAAGGTAATAGATCAAATAATATACAATTTTTTAAATAAAATCTTCATTCTTCCTGGTAGAATCACATCTATCCAACATACAATTGTTCAAAAATCCCATCAGGAAATTTTGAGCTGACACTTCTCTATTTTGCATTATTTTTCAGATTAAGAAATGATAGAAGCTAATGAGCTTCATATCACTTCAAAGGAGACAAAACTTTTGTAAGTAATCAATATTTATTTTCATTAAGTGTAATTAAGATCGAAGAATTCCTGTATTTGCAGTGAAAGGAAAAATCAACATGTAGTCTCAGGGAGAATCCACAGTGACCCAAGGTAGGGAGAGAAGAGCCCTGGGTGAATTGAACTTAGAACAATGAGGCAGGAACAGAGGAGTTTTTAATTAGGAAAGGAAGACATTCATGAGAGTACCAAGTTGTATTACAGATAAAAATTTGAAAGAAAATCTGCTGTTTCTTTCTCTTTCTCTTTGATGACATTTTCCTTTTTCTTACTTCGAATTCTGATTAATGTCTGCTCAATCAAGAGCCACTGTTAAAACATCAAAGACTCCTCCTCAAATACTCTTATTCTTACGTTAATTTTGAGGTGGGTTTACACTGATTCTGACCTCGAGTGAAGGGGGAATTCCCATTCAAATATAACACCCCTGCAATGCACCTTCCTTCCACTATTTTTCCTTCTTTATCAAGTTTCTTTGCCCTGTTTACACACAATCTTACCCACCACAGTCAGTTCAACTGTATTTACCCACCATAGCCAGTTCAACTGTATAAGCAAAATTATGGTCACGGTAAAAAGTGTGACGGCTCTTACTACACATATTTTAGCTAAATATAAAATATTGAAAATTTAGGTTGTCTAGTTCTGATTTAAAGCATCATATCACCCCTTCCAAACACTGAATTTCCAGTCAAAGTCTTCTCCAATGAGCCCATAACCTGGGATGGATAGCTTATAGTTCATTTCAACTCACCCATCTGTTTGTCTTTCTGAATGAACACAAAACTTTTTATGCTTGATCTCCCTTTGGCATTTGATGGAAGCTGCTAATTTGGAAGATACCTGCCTCACCATCTTAGTGGTGTACCTGATGTATACTATAGAGAGACACTGTGAGAAATATGTAAATAATCTTTTCCTATAGCATATAGCCTCAGTCACTAACACAGCTTTCCTGAAGCTAGTCCTCCACATGCACAAGTGGAAATCTGATATAGGCAAGTGGCAGATGAACAAATTGAATAAAATACAATAAGGAAACACAGCTAATATATACAGAGCTGACATTTGTGTAGGGAAAAAAGTTGGATTTTAAAATCAACATTCTCAGAGTGACAATAAAATTCAATGTTACATTTAAAAATGTGAAGGTGTTTTTTCTTAAGGCTCTAGAACGGGAAAGAAGAAGGAGTAGAATTTATTGAGATAATGAATGTTAAGTGATGGTCACAATAAATGCTTCATACATAACAGTGGTTGCTGTTATGCTCACTACCTTAGAAGTCAAATTTTTAAAAAATATTCAGAAATTGGTTCAAGTCAGAGAGCTTCCCTGATAGCACAGTTGGTAAAGAATCCGCCTGCAATGCAGGAGACCCCAGTTCGATTCCTGGGTCAGGAAGATCCACTGGGGAAGGGATAGGCTACCCACTCCAGTATTCTTAGGCTTTCCTTGTGGCTCAGCTGGTAAAGAATCCGTCTGCAATGCCAGAAACCTGGGTTCGATCACTGGGTTGGGAAGATCCCCTGGAGAAGGGAAAGGCTACCTGTTCCAGTATTCTGGCCTGGAGAATTCCATGGATGTATAGTCCATGGGGTCACAAAGAGTTGGACAGGACTGAGTGACTTTCACATTCATAAAAAGTGCCAAAAATTAGGACACAGGGTAGGTCAAAGATGGTGATTTCCAGCTTTAGTTAGTAGGCTTGTTAAAACTCTTCTTTATCATAAATAGGAATTTGGGTCAAGGAGGAAAAGCTGTAGTACATGCACAATATACTTTTGCAGCCATCTGAGCTAAGAGACAAGTTTTCTCCATCTGCCTCTTGCTATTTTTCTATTTGAGAGCCAGGATTTCCTAATAAAGGAGAGAAGCCAATGAGGGTCCTTTTTTTCTCTGTATCATTTTAGCCATTGGCTCAGCAAGTAGAAGTTAAATACCAGCTCTAAAGAAACTAATAGGTACTGTCTAAAATGGAATTTGTAGCAATGTCTTCAGCACCCTGCTTCAGTTAGCAGGACAGATATCCTGAAAAAATGTTAACTGATAACATAGTAAGGTACTCTTTTTGTACTGACCTAATTCAACTTCATGGTAATTTATTATTTTTTTACAACATGACAAGCTTTAATATTTCTTCATTCATCTTTTACCTCTTATTCATATCAAATGATTCTCTCTGTCTTGTTAAAGACAAGCCTTGAATTCCACTTTTCTGCTGTGAATATTGCCAGGCCATTTTTTTTAATTGAAGTAAAATTGACTTGCAATGTTATATAAGTTTTAGGTGTACAGGATCATGATTCAGTATTTTTATACACTACAAAATGATCACCACAATAAGTCTAGTTACCATCTGTCACCCTATTAATTTGAACTTTGATTTTTCTTAGAATTTTCCAAAATTCTAAATAAAATTTTCTTTGTAACAAGGAGAAAAGAAATTAGATGTGTGTATGAGGGTGTATCTTATGAAACTTTACATCAAGGAAGAATTAAGGTAAATGCAAACATAGAAAACAATCTAGACTTCTATGTTACATGTAGTCGGTGAAATTTATACTCTGAAAAAAATGGAGACTGTTACAGTGTGGGCTGTGAGAGCATATAGTAACCTATTGACTCTGGTTGTCAGAACTCTGCTCTCATTGGGCTAAGCTAGATCATTGGGAAATGAGTTAAATTCAGAACCATATGGAGCCCTTTCACAAAAGTGCATTAAAGGAGTAAACAGAAGTCAGAAGATATAAAAATTACTTTTCAAGAGAAAGAAATGGCTAATATAATGATCATTCCCTTCATAGATCAGAAGAATGCATATCTCAGAAGCCAGTAATATCTCTGGGTCTGTGAGTGAGTTCATTCTCCTGGGCTTCCCCTGCCGCAGGGAGATCCAGATCCTCCTCTCCATCATGTTCTCCCTCATCTACCTGCTGACCCTCCTTGGGAACACAGCCATCATCTGTGCTGTGTGGTCAAGCCGAAAGCTCCATACACCCATGTACATCCTCCTGGCCAACTTCTCCTTCCTAGAGATCTGCTATGTCAGTTCTGATGTGCCCAAAATGTTGGCCAACATCATCTCCCAGACCAAGAGCATCTCCTATGCTGGCTGCCTGCTCCAGTTCTACTTCTTCTTCTCCATGTGTGCAGCTGAAGGCTACTTTCTATCTGCAATGTCCTTTGATCGGTTCCTTGCCATCTGTCGACCTCTGCATTACCCCACCATTATGACTTATCAACTCTGCGCCCGATTAGTGGTTTTCTGCTGGGCAGGTGGCTTTCTATCAATACTGATGCCTGCAGTTCTTATGTCCCGGGTGCCTTTCTGTGGCCCTAATGTCATTGACCATTTTTTCTGTGACCTGGGACCATTGCTGGCGCTATCCTGTGCCCCCGTTCCCAAAACTACTCTAACTTGCGCCACAGTAAGCTCTCTTATCATTTTCATCACCTTCCTCTACATTCTTGGGTCCTATACCTTCGTTTTGCGAGCTGTACTTCGGGTCCCAGCTGGCTCAGGCAGAAACAAAGCTTTTTCTACGTGTGCCTCCCATTTCTTGGTGGTTTCCTTGTTCTATGGCTCAGTCATGGTGATGTATGTGAGTCCAGGCTCCAGGAGCCATCCTGGGACACAGAAATTTGTGACCCTGTTTTACTGCATGGCAACCCCATTCTTTAATCCTCTGATCTACAGCCTCCGGAACAAAGATATGAAAGATGCATTGAAGAAAGTCCTCTGTGCACCAGAAATTTCTAAAAATACAGAGAAATGATATACATTTTTACATCGTTATTCCCCCAAGAATTCAGAATTTCTCTTATTTAAAAAAAACTGTTTTCTGGACATGTCTGAGTATTTGACTTCTTGATCTCATAAAATATGATTCATTACACACACCAAAAAACTCTCATCCTATCTCAAAAGAAAATACCACAGTTCCAAAGGTCTATTGCAGCAAAGTTTCAGCAAAGGGTTTTTATTCACCAATGTATTAATATAATTTTTATGTTTTAAAGGTTTTTTTTTGTAGTCCTAACACTAACGTAATCAAGTTGGTATGTACAAAACTAAGGCTCATGTTTCCAACTTGTATCTTGGCTTTTATCTTAATACTGTTTTATGCACTTTAAGTTTATCAGCTATTTTTCTTTTCCAACTATAAGGTTGTCTATAATGAGAAATAGCACCAACTTACTATGCTCACGAAAAAAGTCAATCACTTTAATTTATAAGATCAAGGACTCAATATCTGCGACTGAAACAGTAGCGTTTTTCACTTGTGTTTTCCTTACTACCGAACACTGATGAGCTATACACAGTATGTTGTGAATGAAAACAGGAATTTATATGGTTTCTTCTTAAGGAAAATTCTTGGTCCAACTTTGAAGAGAGTACAAAGACAAGCACACATTCACATGTGCCAAATCATTAAGTATTCCTTACTCCAAACTGCGTTTCTGCACCTTCCAAGCTTTAAGTAGAGGAACTTTTACTGTTAACAGAAAACAGGCATGAGAAACCAGAAAACAGACTCTGCCAACTAAATAGAAGCTACTTCAAGGCAGTCAGCACTTAATATAAATGTTTTGGCTTGACCTGATCATCTGCCTGTACTCTGAAATGTTCATATTTTATTTTTTTGGTTAAAAAATTTGTTGAGGCAACATTGGTTTATAACATTATGGAAGTTTCATGTGTTCAACAGTATGTATCATATTTTACACTGTAGCACAAAATTTCTTTTTCTGGGAGAGAGGTTGGTTTGTAAAGTTTTCTACTATATAGTGAAGAAAAAGCTTATGATCTGACTGACAATGTGCGATTCAAACCAGACCTCAATTCATGTTTTCTGTTTTTAATGTAGAAAACAGGGTTCTTACTTGCACACAACAAGTAAAGAGGGCTTTAAAGCCCTCTTCCAAGTTATCCTGTCTTTGGGGAATATTTTCTGTAATAGAATAGGCTAAGTAGTGAGG